CCCTTTCCTTCGTCGGCCTTATCCTCTCCTTCAGCTTTGTCGTATATGGCATAAAACTTTAAGACATTTAAATGTTGAATTTTGAAAAGCCATTGGTCAAAAAAGCAGCTCGCACTGTTCAATTTGTACTTTGACGGTTGACATCAATGTTTTTTTTCCTCTTTATCTCTTATCATTAATATATAATTTATAGCATTAATCGCTTTTCACATGAAAAGTAGACCCACCTCTCCGGAATTCGGATTTTGTACACGCGTTAATAATTAAGATACACAGATTAGTGTATTGTTTAATTGTGTAATAGTGCTGCAATGCTGTAAACTATGATTTACACAGCTAATTCTATTATATTAAAATACAGGGAAAATTTTGAAAATAATAATATCATCGATATATTTTTTTATTAATTAAAACTTTTTTATTAATTAAAACTTGCATTTCAAATATTAATTGCATTGCATCAACTGCATTTGCTTATATTATTGATAAGAAATACAATCTTTTACGACACTCGAGAGGGAAAAATATCGCTATATTAGTAGAGAATTTGATCGCGAATCATACATCCTCGAGCAACTCCAATTAACTTATTAAGAGTAACATTTGCAGTATTTTATTAACATGAATAGAATTATCAATTTCCCTCGTCAAATTAGGAGAATAGATATATTATACAATTAAAAATTTTATCATAGGCAATTCTGCTGAATAAAGCTAATTGGAGTTTGATCGAAATGAGTCTAGTACTACACCGAAACATACGTTGATGTAATTAAGCATCTCCCGTAATATATACAGCTTATTACTGACTTAGCCGACAGCAGCTCGTATCATTCGCGAATTAAGAAATGAACGTCGCGTAAATAACGTGCTCATCGTCTTAGGACGATTCGCGTCTACAGGTAATTTACCTAATTTGCACGCGAGCGGCACGCTTATGGCGTATGGCATCGACCGTATCTATCTACGGTGTCTGACTATCGGGGGCACACAGACGTCTCGATATTAGAACGGCGAGTACATATATGTACACACACACACACACACATATATATATATATATATATATATATATATGTATATATCGTACATATATATATAAGGGTGCCCTGCGTTGGGCCCCATCGTTGTACCCCTCGTACAACGGACTTTCAAGGCAACGGACGAGAACGAAGCACGCCATGTGGCGGCGAAACACTTCGTTGCGCGATTACATTCGCAACGATAACGTCTCGATTCGTAGGTAACGAGAATGATCGTCGCGAAGGATCGTCGACGTTTGTCGCGAAATGATCTGCGTTTTCCGTTGCGATCGCTTCGACGCCGGTCGTATTATTATTTATATATTTTTATTATATATTTAATATTTGTTATATTTAATTTTATATAGCTTTTAGATGCTTTTTATGGAATATAGACTTCTATTTTTCTCCTTATTTACATATGAAAAAGTTGGAGGCTGTGATATCTGGAATAATCTATATATGTGTATATATTTATATATTAAAATCATAAAAGTTATTCGTTATATACATAATTACAATATAAAAATATTATAAGTTTATTGAAACTCAAATATACTATTTGTATAAAATCTCTCTCTCTCTCTTAATCCGACTATATAACGTGTATAATGTGGCTTTATTCCGGCTGAACCCCTATTTAAGATGTAAATGTCGTATCGATTATTCCGGTTATCACGCACAGTCTATAGCTTCTTCATATGTAAATCAAGAGAAAAATAAGAGTATGTATTATTTTTATATATTGTATATAAATTTCTCTCTCGTAGATGCTTTTTATGGAATATAGACTTCTATTTTTCTCCTTATTTACATATGAAAAAGTTGGAGGATGATATCCGGAATAATCTATATATGTGTATATATTTATATATTAAAACCATAAAAGTTATTCGTTATATACATAATTATTATTTATATATTTTTATTATATATTTAATATTTGCTATATTTAATTTTATATATGATTTTATATTTATATAAATATTTTTATATTTATACCGTTATATGTATATACACATATAATGATATAAAAATATTATAATAAGTTTATTAAAACTCAAATATACTATTTGTATAAAATCTTGAAAATTAAATTTTCTAGTATTTAATTAAATTTAGTATTAAATTCCTCTCTTTCTTTCTTTCTCACTATTTCTTGCCGTTAAAAAAAACAGTAACAATAAAAAATAAAAAAATCATGTAGCAATAATAATAAATCACAGCCGTTATTGTATATCTTTTATATCTTTTCGACAAAGTAAAAATTTAAATAATTATAAATTCGCGTCATGCAATTTATAAAGACCCATTTATCAGCTCATCGGAATAGGAAACGTGCGATCGTCGTACTAATTAAGCAAATAAGACACAAGGATCGGTCAGTCACCTTTAGAGTTAAACGCGATGTTAAAGGGAGACGGAAATAAGGACCCTAGTCTTTCGCGCGAGACAGCTGTATTCTTAACGGTCTCTCAATGTGTTGACGTCTAACGAGGGTAGGTCAGTATCGGTGTATGCAGAATGCGTTTAAATATGTACTCAAATTTGATTAAATATAAGTATGATTTATTCATAAATGAAATTTATTCATTAAATGAAAATAATTAATAATATTTTTAGTAATATTTTTCTAGTTGTAAGCGCGAAATAAATTGGAGTACTATCATGATAATAAAGAAAATTGAAACTATTTAAAACATAAAAAATATAATAAATTTTATAGTATTAATGATTCAGTAGTATATTAATATTTTGTCATGATTTAATAGTATTAATATCATGATATAAAAATAAGAGAGAGAGAAAGAGAGAGATTTATGTTTATATGAATAATCGATCATTATATTTCTTTTAATTTTAAACAAAGCTTTAGTAACCTATAAAACTAATAAAATAATGATGACAATAATTAAATGTTTTAGTTAATATATATAATAATATATATATATATATATATATATATATATAATAGTTAAAATTAATATTTCCCAAAATGAAGGACCTTTAAATTAAGGAATTGATTTGATTACGCAAATATTGGCAAATATAATTTGTTACTTTATAAATAAAAAAATAAATAAATAAAAAAATACCAACTAAAAAGAAACTTTGAACAATATCTCTAACGATATCTCTAAAATAATGCTTTAAAGATATCATTTATATTTGGATAATATATGCATCGATGTTCATTAGAGGGAAAAGTCCAACTATCAATATCTCAATATAACGTGCCTAAAGTACCGTAAGCATCCTCGGGGTTCCGGCTCTCTCGTATCTCGTCAGAGGCAGCCGTTCGTTTGCGTTGCGAACCTCCATGGGACTTTACCGAGGGCATGAATAAAAGGGGGCGCCAAGTCTAACCAGCCACCCAACAAGGAGCAGGTGAGCACCTGGTCCTCGTAACCCTGGCACGAGCTACTTGCCTCGCAAGAGGGTGCTCAATGAACGACATCAGGCGTGTCAATTAATTCGATATCGATATTATTTAAAAAAAAGAAATTAAATATTTTTACAGAAAAAAAGATACTGCTAATATTCAATCAAATGCGATTCATATTTTTTGCGCAATTAATAAGGTGCTTTTTTAAATTGAATAAATAAGTTATCATAATGTCACATGATATGCAATAATATAACAATAATAATATAGGTAATATATGCACGACGAAATTAAATATAAAAAAAATTCGCGCATGAAACGTGCGAAATCGATACGAATGAGAAACACTGACATTTGAGCCTGCGAACCGAGTTCGCAGGGTTCAGACCGACGGCAGACGTTTACAGATCGTTGAAGGACGGGGAAATCCCTAGCCAGTAACCCGCCTAATTCCTTCCTGAACGCGGCACCGGGCTCTCACGTCCTGCCTTTGTCAATATCCATTTTATCCATAATTAACTCGACATCCTCCGCCCATCACGAAAAAAAAATCATTAAGATTGCAAATTACTTAATATTATCAGAGTTGTCAATTATGAACATTATTTAAATGTTAATCTGTTCCCGAGTAACATGTGTTGTTTAAAGATATTTTTATCTATTTATAATTATTCGATTTTTTATCATAATTATTTCAATATATTTTATATTATATTTTAATTATCTCATGTACGCGCATTTGTGTCTGTATTTTTACTTATTCTTATATAAGAATCATATCTACATTATTAACAATTACATATATTAGAGTTGCACAAGATATCAAGACTAATCTTATAATTAATTAAAATATCTTATAATTATTTTGTATTGTCTCGAATTTTGAAACAAGATCAAGACAAGATTTTTAATTAATTATCAAGAACCAAGATTAAGAGAGAAATTATTGGTCTTATCAAGACTAATTTACTAATTTTCAAAAAAACTACAACATGTATATTTATAAATTAGATGAGAAAAAATTGCATTATACGAACTTGAAAATTTTGATTTAATAAATACATAAAAACATTTATATCAATAAATTAAGGAATAATTGAGAAACAATAAACAATAATAATTTTATAATTATTTAGCTACTTTATGTGCAGCACGTACACACAGTTAAATATTATTATTTTAAACGGTATTAGATGAAAAAATTATTAATAAAATCGAAATGACAATACAAGACGAGAGTTTTGCTAGCAAGATTCACTCAAAATTTATCAAGATTTTTAAGTTTTTGAAAATGTTCAATACCAATACAATATTTTTATGAAGATTGCCTTGAGTCTTGTGCAACCCTGAATAATATATATCAAGTTGATGTGAAAGACTTTTTTCGCACACACGTTTATTTATTTTATATATATTACTAATTTAAACTTTTGATAAAAATTGGAATCGTATTAGATCATTTTGTTAAATGAAAAATCTATATCGGAATCAAAGTAGCAATTGCTTTAATTGTAATTTTATTTCCTAAAATTTATCTCACAAGTCTTTCTCGCACATCAACCTCATAACATGCATTCACAAATGTCACTTACCTTTCGAATGCTGAAGATAACGCTTCTCTGGACCACCAGAATCCAAAATCGACCTGGACAGATCATTGGTGATGTTCGACATTGGTGATACGTCCATTCCGACTGATCCCTTGTTGAACCTTGCGGGAGAGAATCTTTCCTCCATCTCAATGATGATGTTACTTTGCGTGGATATCTGACAGCACGAATTACTCTCTTGAAAATCGGCGAATTCAGGCAAATGAAATGCGATGTCTCGAATCGATGTGTTAGGCGATGTTATTGACTTCTTGCAAGAAAGTCAAGACAGGCCTTTAATTTCTTGAAATATCCAGAGAAACCAAAGAAGATATGCCACTGAAAATATAATTAACATCTCGGTTATTTGATTATTAAACAACAGGCACTTATAAATCGCCAGAAAAAAATTAATTACGCTGCGAGGTGTGAGAATAAATGAAATTTTCATGAAATTTATTATTGTAAAAGTTTATACACGTATATATATCTTTATGTTAGTATTCTCTACTAGTACTATCTCAACTTTACAAGCGAAATAAATTATGATCGAAATGAAAATATACAATAGCTTTCTAATTGGCGTCTTTTCAGAAACAGGACCCACCTTATTATGCTGTCTCAACTATATTGGTTATATATACAGGGTGTCCAGCCATTGTCGCATCAATGTTCAATCTTTTTAGCTGTAAAGTTTTTTTGAGAATATTAACACATAAAATAAAAATACGCTTACAATATTATTGTTGAGCTTAGTGATTTTTTTTTGCATTTTACTTAATATTTTTATATTGAAAGAATGATAATTAAGGTGACAATGTTGTAAAAGAGCAAATAATAAAATACGGAATGGATATTTCTAATTGTGTAGTTTTTAAGAAAGATGATTTTAGATGTAGAGCAACGTGTGTATATGTCTGATTTACATCAATGCTTGTGTGCGTCTATTGAATAGTAAGGTATTTGCCTTGCGCGACCTTCGAACTTGTTTATACGGCGCTCTTGTGATGATATTTAACATTGTTTTGATCTTAACTGATCACTGAAAATGACGAATTCTCGTAATATACATGCTTCCCTGGAACTAAAAAGTTAACATTACTAATTGTATTCTAATCATCACACGAGCATTAAATAAACAATCAAAGTAATACAATTAAATAAATGCGCACAATACTTTTATATTCGAAATTATAATATAATTATTGTATAATCCTTACTATATAATTCTTTTATTAATATATATTAATTATTATAAATAATAATTTTAATAAATTCTTTCTCTCGAAAATTATACATTCAGTAAGAATAATTAAAACAATTTATCGTAACCATTGTCACAATAATTTATTATATTTACTTTTGCTGTCGCTAATTTATAGATAGCCTGTAAGATAAAAATACACGCGCGTTTTGCCGAAGCCGTTGAAGCCGATCTATGTGAGCAACGTTTCCCGGAAACGGACTCTCGTAGGACTTCTCCACGACCTCGAAAATATACAACGTGTGCCACAATTTGCAACCTTAGTTTTAACAGATTTTGCGAGAAAATTAAAATTATCATTTTAACGTGAAAATAACAATGAAACATACACATTTTTTGAATTAGAAGTAAAAAGCATTTAAAGCTAAAAACTTCACTAATGTGAAAAATATAATATATGTAAATATATTGATAATTTTCTCTAATGAATAAAAAACTTTTTTTAATCGCAAAATCGAACGTTTTTTGAAGATTACTAATTGAAAAATTGTCTATATATTATATATAAGAATTTTCACTTTCAATATTAAATATCTTGCCAAAATAACATTCAAATGATATAAAAAAATTCTATACTCAAAGAATTATTACGTGTTATTTAGATGTAACCTTGACATTGATAATCGAATTATTGTGACTGATTATGTGTCACTACTACAACATGATTACGAGCGATTCAAAATACTATAATTCGAGAAAAATAACGCCATCATTATATCTTTTAACAATAAATTTTCGTCGAGAAACCATCAACCATCGGTCCCTTAAAGTACGAAAACATGCAATTTTTTTTTCATACACCTTATAACCTTCAAAACGCGGGAAAAAGTGAAGAAACGATAATTAATAAAGTTAATAAAGTGAAGCGGACAAACTTACGTGTCTATAAAATGCAACAGAATTTTTTAAAAACGCTCGAGATCGGCGACGACGGAGCTTCTGCACACCACTTCACGCCAATTGATAAAGGGTAATGAAATAATTGATTTGGCGGTTCACACACTTACTCGAGTGTCGCGGCAACGACGATTATTTCCCGCGCGAGACTCGGTGATCGCGCGAGCGAAATAACCAGCAGCACTCCGATGATCAACGGATCCACGTGACGCATCTCCGGACAAACGGAGCACACTTGGCTTCGTGATACGAGACAACTGGCCGTTCGTTTAATTTAGTCAAATGTGATAAGCCGCTACTGCCGCGCCAACGATAGAGAGCGCGAATCGAAATGCGCGCGCGGGTGGACCGCTGAGAAAAGGCGCCAACGTGGAAGAGAGATGGAGGGGGAAAATGTAATATTCCGCATATTTTGCTTTTCTTCCTGTTTTTAAAAATCAACATATATAACTATTACTTGTTACTCATATTTACATATGTGCGAAAGTGTCATTTAAAAATGAGAATCATTTAATATATATAATAAAAATTTATATATATTTTAAATATTAAAAAATTTGAATATGTATTTTAAAAAACATAATATAAAATTTTTATTTCATATCTTTAGAATTAGATTGATTTAATAGTGTTATTTAATACATAATAATTTATATATATGAAAATGTCATTTAAACATAAGAATGATACAAAAAATAATATAATAGTTACTATATATACTATGTGGCATATGTAATTATTATATTATTTTTTGTATCATTCTTATTTTTAAATGACACTTTCGTACATATGTATAAATTATTATGTATTAAATAACACTATTAAATAAATCTGTGATTATAAAGATATGAAATAAAAAAAAAATATTTTGCACTGTTTTTTAAAATACATAATCAATTTTTTTTATAATAAAAATATATATAAATTTTTATCATATATATTAAATGATATTCTAAGGAATCTGTGATTGTAAAAAAATAAATAAAATATCCGAAATAAAAAGATAAAGTATTTTATATTTTTAAATATCTACTAAAAATTTTCATAATTGAAATATCATATAATCAACATATGTAATTATGTAATAGTGAGATTGAAAACTTTTTTTAAAGATTGAAAACTTTTATTTTGATGCAATTTGGCCAAAAATGTTTATTATAATTTATATTGGTATTGCTCTTGCTCTAAAACATTTTTATATAATTTTATATTCTTGAATAAATCGTGTATAAAAATTGAAATCTATTATATTCATTCTCAGAGGAAAATGTAAAGGATGGTATAAGGAAGATTGCTTGTTGCTACATTGAACAGTAAATGGATTAAGGACGACGCAATTACTTACAATCAAAATACAAGAAAAGGAGACTTTTCTATAAAATTTAGAAAATTTATTAGTTTGTCTAAAATTCTCTCAGGTAGTCAAATAATACATTCAATATATTAGTACGTGTCACGACAGTCTCATGTCCCATCAGTGCTATGTATGATCATCAGATATGTACGATACATATAATAAATTTGCTTTACATAATTCCCTCGACAATGAATATTTTCATTGTTATAAAATAATATACACACATTTTTGTCCAAATGCGTAAAATACAACAATTGTCAAAATTGTTGTAGGATACAGCAGAACTATTTCAAGAAGTTGACATCACATCAATTTTTAACTTTTCAAACATTTTTATATCGCTAAAGCTTTAAAGCTCTTCCTAGCACACATCAATGCTCAAATAAATATAGAGTCCCTAATAATTTATACAATAAATTTCAATATTATTCAAAATGCTTCACTGTATCCTACAGGGCGTAAATGTTTTCAAAAACACATCTAATTAATAAAATACTCGAAATATAAAACAGATCATTTTCTTTTTTCTATTCTACTACGCTCCTCTGGAATGTATTTTTTTATTATTTATTTGTTCTTATATATTTATCTAATAAGCGCATAAATTATCATCACCTGGACTTTCCTTGTTTTTTTTTTTTTTGATCAAGAGAACAATTTCATGGTAAAAATTCTTGGAATATAAAATATATATATCATGTATGTTTTACTATCTAATTTATTACTCTAGAACGCTGTATCGTATTCATTTAACACAGTATATCACTACTACCAATATATAAATGTTATGTACAACAAAAATATAATCATTTATTTTTATCAAAATCAAAATTAATGAAATATGAAATGCAAAATCGGATACTGAACGCAATATTAATAAAATGAATACGATATATAGGGATATATAAAATAAAAGGATAAAAAGTCTTTAAAAGATCAACACATGTTATTACCAATAATACATATAAAATTTATGTATGGTAGCGTTCTAGTAGGATCAAGGTATATAGGGCAGAAAGTTTTCGCGATAAAATTTAAATCATGGAATGCGAATGTATGATAATGGAAAATGCATAAAATAGAAGAATGCGATTACTTAATAATAGCCCTACATTTTTTATCCCCACACTAATAAACTTTGATGTGGAGAAACAACTTTTCTAATAATTCATAAACATAATAGAGATATTATTCAGGTCTCTTACCATGTTGTAATGTCGAAATCGTGGCATCACATAAAAAACGATGTACACTAAACATTACGTTAATTAAAAAATATTCTTCTCTTTACAGGATTCAGATTGCTTCATTCGATCACATGATTAGGCCTTTGCAGAGTTTTAGGAGACATAACATATCCGCTTTTCACATTCACGACGAGATTTTTAGGTTTCGGCGGTAAGGGTGGAGGTTTCGATAGTTTTGTGCGAGACATGTCGGAACCGTAGCTCTCCGAGCACGAAGTTTTCGATTGAGAATTGGTACAATTTTCAATGATTGTCTGATCTGCATCCACCAATGTTCTATCGCCATCTAAAGTGAATGAACTGTCGAGGCACTTATTCAAAGGTTCCGTAACCAAGGCTGAGAATCGTTCGTTCAAAACTCCGTTCGTTACGTGCGCTGGGTAGTCGTATCCGCTACAACTACTTTGCTTATCCTCGCTAGAATCGTAAAACTTTGTAGTGCCCTCGCAATTGGCCGACACCACTCGAGTCCTTCGCATCTTGTTAGAATCCGACGGTTTCCCATTCTCCTTATTCTGATCAGTAATTTCATAGCTTTAAGAGTCGAAACGCATATAATGATATAGAGATTGTAAGAGCTTATGTACACACATAACTTCTGTACTGCTCTATTAAATTCCAATAAAGTTAGAGTATATATTAAATATTATACATATATATAAAATGCACATATAACTGTACCTTTAAAAAATCCGGTAGCTCGAAATTAATTTCCGTTCCTCTCTGGTCTTCTAATCTCGATCGTTGCGCTCTTTTTAATCCTTCATATAAATCTGTAACGAGAAAAACAGTTACAATTAAAGTAAAACTGTCATCTAAACTTTTTTTAATAAAGAAAACATTTTATCTTTCGACATTTTGATATTTCATTTATATAAGTAGTTAATTTTTGATACTATAAATATTTTTCTTTCTATAATTTCTTTCTATTATGTATATTTATTTGTTAAAATCTTTGAAATTATATAATCATTTTTCTTCTATAAGAGATATATAAAAATAAGATTATTATCTCACCGTCTCCGTCGAATCTGCCTGGTAGTTGCAATTTTACACCATTACGCCACTTTGCGATAAGCGGAGGATGGGATTTTACAGGTGCTCCTTCATGTACACAATCATTTGTATTACCTTTGTCAGTTGTATTGCAGTATTTAGATTTTGCCTTAGTCATGAAAAACCAGGAATATATAAGTTACACTTTTATACACCTTATATTTAAATTTTTATTTCAAAAATATAAATTTACCTTCTTTTTTCCGTGTATTGTCGAATCTCGAAGAAAGAATTTACTAGACAATATGGAAGATCCTTCGGAGCGTTGGTCATCAGACTATAAGGAAATATAAAGAATATTAAGTGACATTGAAAATAAACTGTTACATAACAGAAAATCGCATATTTTTTTACTTCAGACACTGTTTTATTTACCTTACACGACCCTTCGCTATATTGATATTTATTTCTACTTTTCCCAACTAATAACTCTTCAAACACTTTATTAGTGATTTCATCCAGAGTTGGTTGTACGTGTGATACTTCATCCAAATACTTTGCAGTATGTAACTCCCGTTGAAAATCTGTAAGAATAACAATATTTAAATTAATACTTAAATTATCATTTTATTATTTCATTTATTTATTTTATTATTTTATTTGTTATTGCAACAAATTATAATTTAAAGCATATATTGTAATTTAAATCATTTTCTCATACTCCTTATTACTTAATATATTTAATAAGTATATTTAATAAATGTATATTTAATATATGTATTATTTAATAACATGTGTAACATTTGCTAACACAAAAGTTGTTTTCAAAGGGAAATTGTATACATATATATATGTTTTTTAAATTATTAAATAATAATTATTAATATGTAATTAATAATTAGGTGTCTTATTTACTAACCTTCTTCATTTGCTACTACAATAAGGCGCGTAGGGGCATTGATAGCCATAATATCCATAGGAACGCAATGACCTTCACTCCAAATACTAATTAAATCTAAATTGAAGCCATATTTATTTAGAAGAGGCCTCAACACTTCTTTCAAAGTTTTACCCTTGTGAGCGATAACACTTATTATTCTTCGCGAGGGCAATTCTACCTTTAGAACTTTTGTAAGAACAACCTCTACCTCTTGGCCTGCTAATACTGATGAAAAACATTTCGTGTCTACCATCTGCAAACAAGAGAAATATAATATATTCATTGCAAATAATTCATAAATAATGCAACGATTAAAAAAATGATAACTAAGAATGTGAATTAAAAATTTGATTAAAAATGTGAATTTTGATGTATGTGACTTGTGATGTATGTAAATATATCAAGTATTATATTTTCTCTTGATTTAAATGCGCATGCAACGTGATACAAAACTATATATATAAAATTTTTGTCTCTTCCCCCACCAAATTACATGATATAAACGAAATAAGAAAGATACATGCATTACGCATTCGATATTTAACTTGTGCAAACTAACATTAAAAATCACAAACAAACTACATATGTGCATTATAAACATTGCATGGAAAAATAAAAATATATGCATTAGATAAGTGCATTTTTCGAAACTTGCGATTAAGTAGAAGGCAACACAAACCTCATCTGTTGCTAATATCAGAACGTCATAATTAGAATATCGTAGGGCTCGCTTATCAAGGAGGCGAGTAACCACGTCTTTAATGCTCTCGGTTTGGCTAGTTGTCACTACCGTAGTGGAACC